AAGAAAAAAAGTCACAGGAAAATGCTGAAAGTGAATCAGAAATGACTGGAAATTATAACAATAAGTAAAAGATCCTAAAAAGCACAGGGCTGAGGATGAACTTGAGATAGAGCTTTTTGGGTGGTTGTCAACTCTTTACTTGTTTAATAATACAGGCAGACATTTCATCCATTTTTAAAACATACACCAAAATATATTCTAATGGAGTGATTTGGGGTTTATTGTGACTTTTAACTCAAAATACAAATTACTTTGTCTCCAGAGTAATTCCTTCATACATCAGGATCCCAGCAGACAACGAATGCACCAGCCTGTCACACTGCCTGCTCTCATAAACAAAATATATAGAGCTCATAGTTAAGTTCCCACAGCCTACAGTATAATGTGGGGTCGACCGTGTAAGCTAAAGGCTATGAAGTAGATAGTGATGCCTTAGACAAAAATGCAATAAAGGCAGCCGGGAATACAAATAGCTACATTTGCACTTTTTAGTGAGGCCGACAAAGTTTTGCCGTCGCCTTCTAACAGTTCATGATTCGGTACGGACCAACACGAACATGGCATTTTGAGGAGAGAGCTCTGAGTGGTCATAGTGTGTGCTCACTAAAGTGCTAATGCAGGTTGCGCAAGTGTATGGAGTTCTGTTCAGTCATTCTTAATGGCTTTCAGCATCAACTGTAATCATTTATGACAAACACACTCTTCCTCTCTCTAAAATGACCTTGTGCGTGTTCTGTCGCACCACGCAGCACTTTATTTCATCACACACTTTTTAGACAGCTCCCCAATTTCAGCCATACAAGCGACAGGTGTACACATGACATAACCATGCCATGATGTGTGAATTTCTGGATGTATGTACTCACGTCAGTATTCACACTTAGACTGTGCACTTTGTCTACAGACTTCACACATGAATGCATACTGTATATAAGCCCCGCATGTAGGCACGTGGATCCGCACTACATTTGGACCAGCAGTCTGTTCAATTCCAGTTTGTGTGCGTGCATTTGTGCATATTTGTGTGTCTGTGTGTGTGGAGAACAGCTGCGATATAGAGCCTGTCGTGGGCGTGAGTTAATTAGTGCAGAAGATGATTGTGTTATTTGGACGGCCGACCAGCACTGGGGTTCAAAGTGAAGGGAGGCAGGTGAGCTTGTACGGCCTGCAGCTGCATGTTAAACAACTCAAATGGAATCACAGAAGTCCCGCACGAGGGGATGAAGAGTGAGCGAGAGAGGGACGGAGGGAAGGTGAGAGAGTAGACTGCTATAAACGAGGCCAGATAAACAAAATGAGCATCAGCAGTCGGCGAGTAACTTAAATTCGCCATGTCTTTGCGTGGAACTTTCTGACAGTGTTTCCACATCAAATCAGCGCTGCGAAAGCAGTTTGAAGCTTTGGCTGTGCATATGTTGTTTAAGAGGCGTCCTGCAGCACACAGATTGTAAACTATTAATACACCCTTAAGCTTACTACTACATTACTTCTATTTTAAAGTATGGTGATCTCTATTAATTACAAAACTGATGTAGTAAAGGTGTGTTCAGATGCACTGAAAAGGGAATTATTTTTTCTGTCTGCTTTTGTTTAAGCAGTGCAACTATATTTTTGGCATATGCAAATTTAGCATGGGCTAGATAGATAGTTTTTTTGCAAAAGCCTTGATCCACCCCTAATTTCTTTTTACCTTGCCAGGAAAATTCAGAAATAGGTGCACCAATCATATTTATTTTTCAGCACAGCCTGAAATCTCTTAGACAAGCTTTCTTGTAATTTAAGTAGTCTTCAGGAATATTTCTCAGGCTTCTTGAAGGTCATTCAAAGCTGTTCTTTGGATGTTGGCTGTTGTTGTTGCGCTTTCTATAAAGATAATTGTAGACTGCTTCCATAATGTTGAGGTCTGGGAACTGGGAAGGCCAATTCATGACTGGCTGTGTTTCTTTGTGTGTTTTTACTGCCTTTGCAGTGTGTTTGTGATCATTGCCATGCTGAAAAATGATGCTGTTGCTTTCCAGATGGTATTGAAAGGTGGATCAAAATCTTACTGTGCTTTTCTGCATTTATAACTTTGACAGACGTCAAGTTTGATGCTGAAATCCAACCTCAAAAGACCTTCAGAAAGTATAAAGAATTATTCCTCAAGAGCACAATAACAATTAGTTATATTGTCTGGGTCTGTGGGGGAAAAATATAAACAAAAGAGTCGTGCCATAAGATGTAAGAGCTACATGACACTTCCCTTTTGCTTGTTTCATTCTCTACACGTGTGATGCATTTTTGCAGCCACTCATATTCTCTTTGCGCTGTATCTGAGCACACCTTCAAACAGAGCAAACTCTCGTGTACCTGCATTGACTGTAAGGAACCCATCCACAAGATGCGCATACAGTAGTGTTGCATTAGAAAATAAGATTTCAGAAGCAGACATTTCAGTTGATGTGCAGAGTGCATGGCAACACTGACTGTGTACCAATTCAGCATCCAAACATCTACAGTTAATTACAACAATCACAGCAAAACTCTCAGATTAGTAAATAAGGCTCTGACATGCTTAATTGCACTGCACAAGTCTGTCTTCTAAATATGAAGACTATGCTTTTTAACACATCTGTGACTCTAATCTCAGCTGTAAAAGCTGTAAAAGATGACTCAGGTCAGTGGGTGGATGCAAGTGGTTCATACCTGCTCTGGCTGGTAAGCATTGGACAGCGGTGTCACCATCCAGATGATGTTGAGGTTGGTGAGGGCAGCGCTGGTGGTAAAGGAGCAGGGCAGGATGGCTGCTTGGCCACGAGCCACCTGGACACTGCGCTGGGACATTGTCACATCTAGTGCCTGCACACAGACTGCAGGAGAAAAAAAAGAGTCAGTGATCAGCGTCTTGATTCTCAAAAGAAAAGCTCATGCAGTACCAAACGAAACAGAGAGAAAGAGAGAGCGAGCGAGCGAGAGAGATGAACAGATGTCTAAATTCAGAAATTCTCCCCGAAACTCCCAACAGATGTATCTTTGCACTTTGTAAGAAAAGCAGCATCTTCAAAAGGTTTCCTGAAGGCTATTAGATCCCCTAAATCCCTAAAAATGAGAACGCTTGCTTTAGTGTGTGAGTAACAGAAACGCACACACACACACACACACACACACACACACAGACAGACGATACGAGAAATCCAAAGCTAAAACGCTGCCATGTACAATATCTTTAATATGTGACTTTTTTTACAGCTTTTTCATCTTTACAGCAAAACAAACATGATTTGCTGAGAGCCAAACTCCTCGTCTGAGATGCTTTTGACAACTAACAAACAAGGCTGCACTGAGAGGGATCACATGAAATACGTAATGTGCAATTAAATGGGGGAAAAAAATGATAAGATGTCACGAGATGTTAATTTTATTCCTCTCCTAAAACAGCAACATCTGAATCTGTGCATACTGAATGATGAGAGTAATGTTAGATTTGTTGCTTCCTCTCAAAGTAAACAACTAAGGAGCCACTTTCCTCATCTGGACTCAGCTGCCATCCACAACAGACCCACAAAGACAGATATGTACATGCTGCATCCTATTTCGAGACCGGCTAAAGACATTAAAGCCTAAATTAAGTTAGATCTCCCCCGCAAGCATGTATCCATGTCCAAAAAACCCCATTGGGAAGTAATCTTATCTAAACACGGTGAGGAGGATGATGCGCTGATATGATTACAGATAATTGATCATGTCATGTGAATCGCCCTTGTCAGTGGTAATGTAAAATGAGGATCTTAGCATTAATCAATAGTAGGAACCACCAGGATGTCAATTATGGTTTGTAGTCAAGAGTCAAGCTAGATACCAAGTGCAAGCAATGACCACACTGCGCAATAGAATATATATGAGTAATTATTAACATTATGATAAGGAAACGAATATAAGAATTTTTTCCCATCTACTGACTCGCTTCTGCCTACTTTTGAATATCAGTGTAATATTTTCGAGCTGACAGACTGCCTGTTGCTCTCTGCCTGTCTGTCCAAAACCTGCTGGACTTCCTACGCTTTCTTTCTGCTGGCAGACACAACAGGCCCTGCAGGCTCAGAGCTGGGCCAGGGGAGATATGCAGCACTCAAACTGCTTCACTCAGTTCTGCTTTGTCAAAGATATATACTCATAAAAAAAGAGAGTCACCCCCCACCCCTACAAAAAATGCAAGCAATTTCATTTATATGCAATATTTACAGACGCGGGATTCTTCGTTGTTGCTCACTTGACTGACGTGTGCAATCTGCAGCCCCTGTCATAAAAAACAGTAAGCAGCAAAGATTTAGCTTGCTGCTCTAATCTGAACTTCCTCTGTCCTCTGTGTATGTAGTGTTCACTTTCTGCAAGGAATCAATCTTTGTTCTTAATGGGGGATTAACAGCACAGAGGAAGAAGTTCATGTGAGGAGCTGCGGCCTTAACAAGAATGCGCGATTGCGTTGGCAACATGAGATCAAGTGCAAGTGTTTTTTCTCAGTGGCCACATAGGTATTAAATGTGCTTGATTTAAGGGAAGCAGAAAGGCAGAGAAAGACTAAAGTACAGAAAGAAAGAAAGAATTAAAGATCCTAGAGGAATGAAGATAGAAGGAGCATCTTATCATCTGTAAGCCCCCTCCAAGGCAGCAGTCTCTCAAGCCCACAACAGCTGGAGGGCTCATTTCAAAACACTGGATTAGGGAACCTCTGCGCACAGAGCCTGTAAGCTCCCACGACCAAAGCAAACTCACACACACACACACACACACACACACACCAAACATCACAAACAAGCACCAACACGCAGTGCCAGCGAAACCAGTGCAGTACATATGCCGTGCACTGTGCCCTCTCAACTCACAGGCACATGCGTGACATACTGCTCACTACAATCCACACACTCAGACTTTAATCAATGTATGTCATTGGTGACATGTATGTTAGCCCTTTGGGGACACATCTAAGGGACAGGGACGAGAAGTATGGTATTGCTTGGCATTGCCTCATTATTGCGCACACTTCTGCCAAAGCTTTATGCCAGCTTCACTCAAGCATGTCTGGTAGACCGTCGCTCTTCCAGAATCCATCCTGTAATGGGTTCAATATGTAAGGGATGAACAGTAAGCCAGACACAGTCAAACATGACCACCCGCATTTAAAAAAAAAAACTAAATAAAATATCAGTACAGTATTGTATTATAGCTCCAAAGGAGCCACTATGGCTGAGGTAAACCATGTTTTCTAATCGCTAGCAGAAAACAATAAAGTACAAACTGATTTCAGGAAATAATCAAAGACAGGTCAGGGCTTGATACAGTAGTCCTGACATTATTTTTGCTGTAGTCTAAGATATTTTGCATTTATGACCAGCACTGAGTGAAGCAAAGAGTCATCCATTCTATTTTTTTAACCCTTTAGGCCAAATTTATCACATTTGATACATGAGTTTTGGAGACTTCTACATCATCAGTGGGATTCTTTACAATATATACTTAATTTTCAAAAAAAAAAAAAGAATAATAATTCTGGCTTGAAAGGGTTCATTTCTGCAGGCTAATGTGCACAGTTGTGACGTAAACATGCTATCACTCTCTCTAGGTTTTACCGCGTAAGCTTTATCATTTTCCTGTTGACAAACATCCCGTTCCCTCCTGCTGTCAATTCCAGCCCAGAGGCGCCCCGAGGCCGAGGCCAGCCTGACTGGTACGAAGCTGCACAGAGTAACTATGCTAATCTCTGAGGCTGACCCCTGGCTGCCCACAGTTATGTTTAACTGTAACAGAGCAGCGCCGCATTGTCTCCTATAGTATTACTCACCTGTGGCAGTGTTCTATTGTTGTGGGATCGTACACATTTTACATTTTCAGAGAAAAATAGCTTTTATTTAATCAAAACAGAATATGTTTGTGCTATGTTATTTCCATTAAAGGAACTACAAGTTGCTGACTAGATAAGATTTGGGTTGGGAATGCGGAAGGAATTTTTAAAAAAGAGTGTACAGTAAAGAAAAATGTTGGCGCGCATGAAGTATGAGTAGTAACAGATGAGTAGGTGGAGGAGAAGAACACGAGAACGATGCGAGGAGGGGCAGGTAGGAGAAAAAGAAAACAACAAATCATAAAAAAGAAAGTGAAACAGAGGAGGACATGAGGGAGCAGAGAGGATGCCGGTGTTTCCAGAAAGGCCTAATTGATAAAGTCACCTGAGGCAGTGCTAGCAGTCAAGGAGAGAACCAACAGTATGGCTCTGTTAAGTGTCAAAACCGCTGTTGATTAATGCATGAGAAAAGCATGCACCTCGGAGAAGAAAAAGCTTTGTGTCTGATTCTGTGTGTGTGTGTGTGTGTGTGTGCTTACTCTATCAGTCAAGCTAAAGTGGAGGCATGATTGGATGGAGAACAAATGCAGGCTGGATGCAACACTTCCTCTCTCTCACTCTTGCACTCGCAGTCACTCACACACAAACACACACACACAGAATCCCTGCCTGGCAAGTCATTTGCATTCTGTGATTTTATTCATGTGGCTCTTTTATTCATAGGCTCTACTTTTATTCCAGTTTCAAACAGATGCCCGCGATGCAGTGATGAGCCCCTGGCAAAGCCTCAATGCACAGAGACAGCCACACACCTATACATGCATAAACCTGGTTAAGTGAAGTGATTGATGATAGCAAAGGCATTACTAAAGAGAGAGAAGAGCGCACACATTAACTCGTGTGCGAAGACACAACTTTATTTTAAATCTGTTCAAAGACAATTAAGAGGCGAGAGCATCACATATCTACTACTTCAGGGATGACAGTTGGTAACTAGGATCACACTTAGTTCTGTGTCCTGCACATGCACAATAGAGGTGAGTCTCCAGCAAGCGCTTGGGAAAAAATTAACATCAAAAACCATAAAATTAATCACACAGTTACAAATACATCTGCACATGGATTCGTGTATTCCGACACCTGTGCCCACACACAAACAGAGCTGCGTGTCCTGTTCTTTTGCAGAACACCCAGGGGCTTCATGATGAGCTGTGTACATGCGAGTGGCGGACCCCGCGTTGTTGCCACTGCCTGCAAGGCACCAGGGCGAACCGACAGGCGGGCAAAGACAGGTTATTTTGCGAAACTCAGGTGGCGTAATTGTGTACCCAGCTGCTCGATGGCAACCCATCAAGCGCTGTGCTCACAGCACTGCTGAGGTAAAAATTAATGAACGCCATTCTAAAGACATGTCTGAAAGTCTAGTCAATTCTTTGTTTGTCGAATTTAATAAACTGTAACATTTAATTTTAGGAAATTCTACTTTTAGTTGTTTCACCCTCGTATCTCTGCTAAGTCAGAAGGTTGGAAGCAGGTGCTCTGTTTCTTTGTAGAGGTAAATAAATCACCAATGTTTGTTTTTACAAAAAGAATATTATCATATATGCTGGACGATACTGCAAACTCTGGTATTGATCCAATACCAAGTGAATACAGGGCCATTATTGTCAAACATACAAAGGCAGGTTATGTAGGGGAGAGCGGTGTGCTATGATCTATGAGATGAATCATCATCAAATTATTTTAATAACCACTAAACCACTGTGATTTTTACTTTCCATAATAGTTATTCACAGAATCAAATATACCTTTTAGCTTTTCATGTATTTTGAAACTGGGTTTTTTGGAGACGTGGAATGGAAATGTGCCTGTCTCTAAACAACTTCTGTTGTTTAAATGTGCTGTAGGCTATAAATAAAATAGACGTGGCAGTCAACACACAACTGTTCAGGCATTTTTCATAGTTTGTGTCTAAGGAATATATTTTTCATTTTCAATAAAATAACTTTTTTGCCACAATTCAGTGGGCTT